GACTGGGTATTTTTTCAAGGCCTCAATATGGGAATCAATAGGAACTATTCCGTTTTGATTAACTTTATACCCCAGGAAATCGATGTTTCGATTGACAAACCTACACTTTTTTAAATTTATCTCTAAATTTTGCTCGCTAAACCGAATGCATAGTCTTTTTAATATATCCATGTGTTCTTCAACTGTTTTAGTCGCTACTAATATATCATCCATGTACACTACAATGCTTTTGTTCCTAATAAAGTCTCTCAAGAGCTCCGAAATAAATCTTTGAAAAATAGCGGATCCATTTTTTAACCCAAAGGGCATTCTCAAGTTCTCATACTGTCCTTGCGGTGTTACAAACGATGTAGACGGAACTGATTTTTCTTCTACGCCTATTTGATGATACCCACTTTTCAAATCTATAATGGAAAAACAGCACTTGTTTTCTAAAAACTCAAGACAGTCCTCAATAAGGGGCAATGGGAAATTATCTTTAACAATTCGTTTGTTCAGACCACGGTAATCGACACACATTCGAAGTTCTCCTGATTTTTTATACCCGATACTCAAAATGAGTATTGGGGTATTTCAGAAGGAATCGTTTCCGACCCCATAAAGTATATATATTCTTGATCAGCATCAATAGCCGAGTCGATTGAGCCATGTCTGTCTGTCCGTCTGTCCGTCTGTCCGTCCGTCCGTCTGTCCGTCTGTCCGTCCCCTTCAGCGCCTAATGCTCAAAGAAGAGCTAGAGCAACGATGTTTTGGATCCAGACTTCTGTGATATGTCACTGCTCCAAAAATATTTCAAAACTTTGCCCCGCCCACTTCCGCCCCCTCCAAAGGCGAAAATCTGTGGCATCCACAATTTTAAAGATACGAGAAAACCAAAAACGCAGAATCGTAGAGAATGACCATATCTTCTATACTGCAGAATCTGAATTGGATCGTATTATTATTATAGCCAGCATCAAGAAAACAATTTCATTTTTTCTCGCCCGGTCTCTCTCTAACACACACGTAGCATAGGCGGCTTTGCTTAGAGTAAAACATTAGCGCCTAGATCTCAGAGACTATAAAAGCTAGAGCAACCAAATTTGGTATCCACACTCCTAATATATCGGACCGAGACGAGTTTGTTTCAAAATTTTGCCACACCCCCTTCCGCCCCCGCAAAGGATGCAAGTCTGGGGATATTCACAAATCTCAGAGACTATTAAAGCTAGAGTAACCAAATTTAGTATCCGCACTCCTGTTAGATCTCACTATAAAACGTATATCTCAAAATTTCGCCCCACCCCCTTCCGCCCCCACAAAGGACGAAAATCTGTTGCATCCACAATATTGCAGATTTGAGAAAACTAAAAACGCAGAATCATAGATACCGACCATATCTATCAGATTGCTGAATCTGGATCAGATTAGATCATTTTTATAGCCAAAGGAAACAAATCAATTTGCAGTGGCTACGCAGCGCGTGACGTCACGCTCAGACTGATTTTCTGTCTCTCTCGCACGCACTCTTTGTCGTGTCGTTTAATATTAGCGGCCTCTGGCGGAGGAGAGCCATACTGACTTAGTATCGGGTATAACTCTAGAGTTGCGGTGTCCGCAGCAACTCACTATGACGGATTATTTTCTTTTCTAACAGATCATCTACTATTTCAGCTACTTTCTCTCTCTCATGGTAGGATAAACGACGCGGAGTACAATGAAATGGTGTTGTTTCTGTTACACGAATCTGCATCTGATACTTTGGTGGTGCTTTAAAGTCAAATTCTTTGTGTAAATAGTATGTCTTAATAACTTCCCTACACTTTTCTGCAATAGTGGGGCCAAATTCGAAACCTACGTTAATATGTTCCTCTTCATCAATCTCTACCGACGCACAAAAGTTACTGAATTCGTCGCCTTGATTCATATTCTCGATGACCATTTTGTCATTCCTTGAGTTTTCTTGTGTCTGATTTTTAAATGGATTAGAACGTTTGATTAGATCGCTTCTTTCTGATTGATTACCGTCTAACTTATCATATAGTCTTATGTTAATATTATGTTATCGCTTCTTTCTGATTGATTACCGTCTAACTTATCATATAGTCTTATGTTAATATTATTTTTACTTTCGGTGAATAAAGACGCGCAGGTTAAACTAATAGCTTTTTGCTTTAACGAACTTAATGGTGTGTGTTGCTTCGCATTGATATTTTTCTTATGAACTAATTTTACTTCAATAACTTTAAGGGCATCGCGTCCCAACAATACCGGCAAAGGCAGCATGTTATCATCTACGATGTTTAATAAAACGATATATTTCTTTGTGCAAAATTCAATATGGCACTTAAATTTTCCCCATATGGGAATTGGTTGTCCTCCTAGTCCATAGTATTTCCTAACTTCATTATAGGCTTCAACTATAGCCGACTTCGGTATCAAAGACTTATGAATAAAACTTACAGGGCTACCTGTATCAAATAGACTAAAAATACTGACGCCTCTTTGTTCACCAAACGGAAGTCATAAAGTGATTAACTGGACAGCCGCTAAATCGTCGTTGTTTTTTTCTCCTGGTCGCTCCTCATCTTGAACTGCAGCTACCCTAGTGGCCATCTTTCGTTTCGGGCACTGCGAATATAGGTGGCTGGTACTCCAACAGTTAAAACATGCCCCATCCGGTCTCTTTGGCTGACTGCATTCCTTCATAACGTGCCCAAATTGCCGACAGTTGTAGCAACGCATTGCGCCACCACCTTGCTGCTGCCCAACTGCCATACTCACATTTAGTTTTCCCTTTGTCATACCTTCGCTACGAATTGCTACGACGCCAGGAGCTCTTCTGACCTTATCATAGGTGACCATCTTGTCACGCAACTCGTTGAGTGTGATGCAGTATAGCATGGATGCTGCCATGCCCGTCTTGTCCTGCAGTCCCTCTACGATGAATTTGACCACATCGCTCGTGGCCATGTCTGCTTGCGACGCTATGCTGCACATTGCGACGAAATATTGCAATGCGCTTTCATTATTTGCAATTTTCCGTGCCTCCTGTAGTATGCTCATATTAAAGTAAAGTAAAGTATTCATTATTTCGAATACCCACTGTACCGACGGTACTTAAAGAATACACACTGTAACACTTTGTTTCAGTGTTTACGTAACAATAAAGTCCCAGACATTCTGGGTGATCGTATTACGATTCACTCAAGAATGCCTCGAGCGACCCAAGTGCAGCGTCAGCATGTTCCCATGACTTGACGGCACTAATATACATGCATACACACATATATCTTCCCTCGCGCTCTCGCTGCCAACAGCGCTGAGCATATACATATTAACATATAAGAGATAAGAACACATAGTTCTGCCGCTCCGCTGCCGGCGTCACTGGCAGCGCAGCTCCGCGGCTTTGGGCTTACAAAAGCCCAAACCACAATTGTAAAAGACAGAAGAGAAATCACAATAAAACAGATCGGAGGGTTGAGCCCCAACGATCCAACAAAAAGGATTTGAACATTTCATTTTACATGGCGACCGTGACAGGACTCGATATGTCCTACGCGATGGATCAATCTAAGGATTGAGAAAAAAAAAGAGAGAAATTTTTAAAAAAAAAAAAGTGTTAAAATTTTGAAAGACAAAGAATGGCCGAAAAAAAAAAAAAAAAAATATAATACCATGTGATTTTGTTTTAAAAAATCGGACCAAGTCAAAAGAAAATTGGAAAAACTATTGAAACAGTGTTGTCCCCAGTGCCAGTGCCAAGAAAAAAAAAAAAACCCAGCAGAAAGCCAAACCAGCCGTTTCGCCAGACCCATGCACGACTGCCGACGATATTACGCACAAACCCATGTTGCATTATAATTTATACCCTTAAATTTGGCGGCTACAATGCGGCCAGGAATACATAATACCCAAGGAGATATAACAGCCCGCGCCACAAAGAGCGTACACGCAATATAAAAACCTGTGCGAAGACCAGCACCGGCCCCACTAGACCCAGCAAGGACCAATAATATAAGTGCGAGTGGCATAGGACCGCCCCTTGCACCGTCGATGGACAGTAACACAACCACTCCAGCAGCAGAAAATGCACCAGACTTCGCCGACGCTGCTCCTACCGAGCAAAGGGACGCACTCAGCCTACAAGAGGCATTAGAAGTGTATCCAAACGATGGACCACGCCCACTCACAATAGCTGAGTACAGGGCACGACAAGAAAAACGCCCAAGGAAGAAAACAAAGAGGGGCGGCCGGATCAAACGGCTGCTTCAACAACGACGTCTGGAGCGGGACCTGGAAAAAGCATATACAAATGAAGAGGACCGACAACGCTGCCAAGAGCGCATCAAGGAAATCAATAAACAACTTCGCACTGGTGCGAAGTAACGCAATTGAGCTGCAGAAATGCCATGCCTCATATTGCCAATAATTATAATATTCTATCTCAAGTTGAAGCACCCTTAAAGTGCAACTTGAAAATACTAACCTCTGTTAGGCTATTACTAAAACCATGTGATCGATATTGAATTATATAATGAAAAACCTGTAAATCGATCACATGTCCCTTAACATTTTTTTTTCTTCCTTCATTTTGATCAAATATATATAAAAAAAAAAAAATTTATATTGATGAAATTTTAAAGAGTAAAAAAAAAAAAAAGGAAGGGTATATAGATATGTGTGTCCATGAGAAAAAAAAAAAAAGATTTTTTAGTAATTTTTTTTATAATTGAAAAGAATAAATGAATAGCAAATAATTAAAAAAAAAAAATTTAGATAGAGTTTAAAAACGAACATAGAGGACTTGGCAATGACAAAGGAGGAATATCAGACCAAAGTATATCAATGAAAAAAAAAAAACAAAAAAAAAAAAGAATACATAAAAAAAAATACACTAAAACAAAAAAAAAAAGGAAGACTAACCTAAATGTGACCTAGTAGATAATGTATCAGGACAACTGCAAAAACTCTGAAAAAAAAATCGTACAAAAAAAAAAATATATAAAAACTTCAAAATGCATTGGTGTGTGTGTCCCGTTCGTGAAATCGCCGACGCGCCAGGTCCCCACCTCAGCCCCGTGCCACACGGAACCGCCTCCTCTCCGTCCCCGACCCAGCCATCAGTGGGTAGACGGGCATCGGTAGCACCAGCTCCGGGTCAGGCCAAGGCCGACTTCCAACACGGCCAATGGCCAATGGACAATACGGTCCATCAGTCCATCAGATGGTAAAGCACAAGCAGCACGCTCTCGTGAGCGGCGCCCCCTCGTCGCCCTCCGCCCTAAGGGGCTTGCGCGCTGAGAACGTCCGGCGGTGGCACTGCGGTACGGTCCGAGTCTGGCTGGACAGGATAGGCACAACAGTCTCGGACCGGACCATAATGGATGAGGTGCGTCCACAAAAATAACCATAGAGATGTTTAAGGCAAATTCTAAATGAACAAAAGTATAAACCAAAAACAATTGTAACGAGAAACAAACGAATTCCCTATAAAGGCAAAGAGCAAAAACTATCCAGTCCCACATGATGCGGACAGCGCTAGACGATTTATTGCATTTTGCAATTATTATAGACGTTTTATTAAAAACTTCGCCGACTATTCCCGGCACATAACCAGATTATGTAAAAAGAATGTCCCCTTTGAGTGGTCAACTGAATGTCAAAATGCATTCCAATATTTAAAAGATAAACTTATGGAACCCACTCTGTTACAGTACCCAGATTTTCAGAAAGAATTTTGCATAATCACCGATGCTAGTAAACAAGCATGTGGAGCGGTTTTAACTCAAAACCATAACGGACTCCAACTCCCATTAGCATATGCATCACGTTCATTCACAAAAGGTGAAAGTAACAAAAGTACTACAGAACAGGAATTAGCAGCAATTCATTGGGCAATTACCCATTTTCGACCATATATCTATGGTAAACACTTTACAGTAAAAACGGATCACAGACCACTAACATACCTATTTTCAATGGTCAATCCTAGCTCAAAACTCACACGCATGCGGCTCGAATTAGAAGAATACGACTTTACAGTCGAGTATCTAAAGGGTAAAGATAATCATGTAGCAGATGCGTTATCAAGAATAACCATCACAGACCTGAAAAACATACAAAAAACAAATAAAGTCCTGAAAGTCACTACCAGGCAACAGAGTAGACAGAAATCCTGCGCAGGAAAAGAAAAAATAGAATTGCCTAGGCAATCTCTAACAAAAGCTTCAAAGCCCAACGTATATGAAGTCATCAACAATGACGAAGTACGTAAAGTAGTGACCTTGCATGTAAATAATAATTTATGTTTTTTCAAACATGGAAAAAAAATTACTGCAAGATATGATGTTAGCGATTTGTATACTAATGGAACCCTTGACTTAGGTCAGTTTTTCCAAAGGCTTGAAACGCAAGCCGGTAAACAAAAAATCAGCCAACTCAAAGTGGCACCGTGGGAAAATATCTTTGAATACATTTCAATAGATAATTTTAAAAATATGGGCAATAAAATATTACGAACAATAAGAGTAGCGCTACTCAACCCGGTGACCCTAATTAAAAATGAAAAAGAAAAAGAAGCAATACTGTCTACATTACATGATGATCCCATACAAGGAGGACATACAGGCATAACAAAAACCTTGGCCAAGGTCAAAAGACATTATTTTTGGAAAGGTATGACTAAAGAAATAACCAATTACATACGAAAATGTCCAAAATGCCAAAAAGCTAAAGTAACCAAGCACACAATAACTCCATTGACTATTACAGAAACACCATACATGGCTTTTGATAGGGTAATAGTGGATACGATCGGTCCACTTCCTAAATCAGAACAAGGAAATGAATATGCAGTCACCTTAATATGTGACCTGACAAAATACCTTGTTGCCATACCTATTAGAAACAAAAGTGCAAATACAGTAGCTAAAGCTATTTTTGAAAATTTTATTCTAAAGTACGGTCCAATGAAGACGTTCATTACGGACATGGGAACAGAATATAAAAATTCAATAATTGAAGACTTATGTAAAAATCTAAACATCAAAAACATAACTTCTACTGCACATCATCACCAGACTGTAGGAACCGTGGAGCGAAGCCACAGAACATTTAACGAGTTCATACGCTCATACATCTCAGCTGACAAATCAGATTGGGATGTATGGCTGCAATACTTCGTATATTGTTTTAATACAACCCCCTCTATGGCACATGATTATTGTCCATATGAGCTAGTTTTCGGTAAGACTTCAAACTTACCAGTTCAATTTAATACTATAGATAGAATAGCACCTCTATATAACATAGATGATTACTCTAAAGAGAGTAAATATAGATTAGAAATAGCATATAAACGAGCAAGGATTATGCTCGAGGAGCATAAAATTAAAAATAAACAGCTCTATGACTTAAAGTTAAAAGATTTAAATTTAGCTGTAGGAGATAAAGTTTTATTGAAAAATGAAACAGGACATAAGCTAGATTTTAAATATATAGGACCATATAGAGTAGAAAGTATCGGAGAAAGAGATAACGTCATAATCTCCGATAATAAAAACAAAACTCAGAAAGTACATAAGGATAGGTTAAAGATTTGCAATTATTAATAATTTTTTAGTATGGCCATACATAAATATAAACCATAAAAATATACTATTCCGCATTTATATTCAAATAACTTTTAAATTTTATCAATATTAATTAAAATTCATTATTCTAATAATTGACTAAAAAAGAAAAAAAATATATATATAAATTGTCTTTTTAAGAATACATAACTCGTATACATATATAGTAAAAGCTAAAAATAAAATAACTTCATTATATTACGTTATTTTTCAAAAGGAGGGAGATGTAGTATGCTCATATTAAAGTAAAGTAAAGTATTCATTATTTCGAATACCCACTGTACCGACGGTACTTAAAGAATACACACTGTAACACTTTGTTTCAGTGTTTACGTAACAATAAAGTCCCAGACATTCTGGGTGATCGTATTACGATTCACTCAAGAATGCCTCGAGCGACCCAAGTGCAGCGTCAGCATGTTCCCATGACTTGACGGCACTAATATACATGCATACACACATATATCTTCCCTCGCGCTCTCGCTGCCAACAGCGCTGAGCATATACATATTAACATATAAGAGATAAGAACACATAGTTCTGCCGCTCCGCTGCCGGCGTCACTGGCAGCGCAGCTCCGCGGCTTTGGGCTTACAAAAGCCCAAACCACAATTGTAAAAGACAGAAGAGAAATCACAATAAAACAGATCGGAGGGTTGAGCCCCAACGATCCAACAAAAAGGATTTGAACATTTCATTTTACACTCCAGTCGCTTTCAAATGTCCCACGCTGTCACTTTCTGCTCAAAGACGTTGAGCAATTCTGCTCGCATCAATTGCCAAGTCAAAGGCGCCACATGTTCGATGTACGCCTTCGCCGATCCGCCTAGCAGCCGCTTCGCTAATATCCAGCATTTTGACTCGGATACACCATGGAAATTCATAATGTCCTCAAAGTTACTTATCCAACTGGTTACAGCCTGGTCGTCATCTCCAGAAAATGGACGCATCAGCGCCTCAATGTGTGTCAAGTCGATGCAATCTCTCGGCGTTTCCAACTCCATAGCCTCTTTCTCCGTTTTCAATATGCTTAATTTGAGATCAGCTAAGCGCTTGCGAGAAACGTACAATTGTTTCAACTGCTGCAAATGTGGTTGTTTGTGGTTTACTTGTCGAGGACAAGTATCGATATATCGAGTACATTGGTATTTCTTATAATACTATCGATGAGTAACTCTTAAACTAATATTCAAATCTTATAAACTAATATTCATATCTTACAAACGTTTTGATTTTAAAAACCTTTCTTTTTTATCACCCACTTATACAAAAAAGATTCTTTAACGAGCGGGAACGAAGTAAACTCTGAATTATGCTCGCACTTGTCATGAGATAGGAGAGTGGAACTTTTCTCCCTCTCTCTCTTTCTTACACACAAGCCCGCCGTTCTGTCTCGCTTCCCTCCGCCAGAGCGAACACACTGCACGAGAAAGAGTGTGTGAGATGGATAGAGAGATCGAGAGAGAATGAGTAAGCGCGTGGAAGGCGATTTGGTCGTTATGGCTATAATAACGATCCGATCTCATCCACATTTGACAGTCTAGTAAATATGGCGTTCTCTACGATTCTGCGTTAATTGTGAATTCCACAGATTTTTGGTCTTTGTGGGAGCGGACGGGTCCAGGTGTCTGGATATACAATTTGGTGACTCTAGCTTTCATGGTCTCTGATATCTAGGTGCTCATCAAGGACGCTCATAGGACGAAAAGGCTTCCTTCTGGAAGTTACACTCATCCAGAGCCACATCTATTTGAGTACCATGGCCCTTCAAGAGTTCATGATTTGTTAGCCCCATTTGTCAAAGATATACATACATAGATATGTTTACTCCTCCGAGGACAGACAAACCAAAACAGTAGTGAGTGAAGGGCCGATGTCCACTCGTTTTTAGATACTGATCCTTTCGAATTTCCTGAATGTACCGACCAAATAGCCCTTGAAGTGAGTGTCACTTTCTCATGGAGTACATTCATCGCCTCAATTTGGCATTCTCTATTGCTAGAAATTGAGCACGAAATACGTATCTAGAATATTGTGATATTTGGTACTTTGTGTGGGCTTAACGAAAAATAATGCTTGCAGCGCCTGCGACCACGTCCCCAGGCTATCCAGCGTCGCTGGACTTATACGCAAGAAAAGACGAGGTCTGCGACCTCGAAGGATGGCGCATTGGTCTGCAGAAGGCAGCCGCCCAGAACCTGACGAGACAGCTGCAGGAGATGCCCTCCAACCTCCTCACACCCACAGCTTTTGCGCAGAATGTCGTCGAGGTGCTGTGCAAATCCGGTGTCAATGTGGAGGTCAAGGTCGAGGGCTGGGCCGAGAGCCAGTCAATGCACGCCTTCCTGGCTGTGGGCAAGGCCTCGTGCGAGCCACCCATCTTCCTGGAGCTGAGTTACTACGGCACCTGTGCCGAGGAGCGCCCCATTGTGCTGGTGGGCCAAGGCGTGACTTACGATGCTGGAGGATTGTGCCTGAAAGAGAAACATGAGCTCTTCCATATGCGTGGCGACATGACCGGGGCCGCCGTTGTGGTGGCCTGTTGTCGAGCTGTGGCTGGCCTGCGTTTACCGGTAAGTACTCAGGACAGAAATGATATCTCCTTGAATAATAATGCTGTTCTTAGGTCAACATTCGCGGCCTGATACCTCTTTGTGAAAACGTAGTGGGCTGCAATTCGGTCCGTACTGGGGACATGGTCAAGTCCATGAACGGCAAGACCATCGAGATCCAGTGCACCGATCACGAGGATGTACTGGTCCTGGCAGACGCCCTGCTGTATGCGCAAAACTTCTGTCCCAAGTGCATCATTGACGTCGGCACCTGCTCGGGCTACATGCGCCAGGCCCTGGATGAGTCGGCTGCGGGGGTCTTTACCAACTCGGAGATCCTGTGGCAGCAGATCAAGCACGCCAGCATGCATACCGGAGATCGTGTGTGGCGCTTCCCATTGTGGAAATATTACAGCAAGGCCGTGCGTGCCGGGGGACGCAGCGATGTGCAGAACTATGGCATTGACCGAGGTGGACGTCCCTGCAAGGCCGCTGCCTTTCTCCGTGAGTTTGTGCCCTGTGGCCAGTGGATGCATATTGTGAGTATTGTGGGGCGCTTTGTTTGGGCGCAGAGCTTATGGACTTTCTCCCTCAAAGGATGCCACAAATGTTATGGTGACAAAGGGCTTCGAATACGAGTATCTGCGCAAGGGAATGGCCGCCCGACCCGAACACTGGTGGAGTTTATTGATCTGACGATTTGCAAGGATACGACCCCACGTTTGGCCAAGTAATCAATCTCTAACGGGAATCCAATGTTATATATATTTTTTACTGTGTTTTTTGACGATGCCACACACGAACACAAAATTATACTTGAGCTATTTATTTATTTATTTATTAAATTAACAATTATCTGTTAATAATGGTACTTAGTTACTAAAGGCGGAAAAAGATAAGTTTAAAGTTAGCTAAATTTAAATGATTATAAATATTGCATGCAATTAGTTTAAGAGACAGTTCAGGGGATAGGGTTTGACAGAGGGAGTTATAATTATAGCATAAAACCCTAAAAGGTTCATGATCAGCATAATTAGACCTACATATGGGTAGACGGATAGGCCTAAAAGTACGGGTAGGTCTAGATGGAACGGCCAAGTCAATCTGACCCACGAGATTTTGGGAGTCAACAGTCCCAAGAAGGAGCTTGTGCACGAACATTACGCCATTGCATATTCTGCGATGGTGCAACGACGGCAGGTCAATAAGATTTAGCCTAGACCGGTAGGGTGGCAAGATTCTACCTGAGTCCCAGTTAAAGTTCCAGGCAAAAATTAAAAATTGCTTTTGCACGGATTCAATAACAGCCTGCTGTACTTTATACTGCGGGCTCCACACACAAGAACAATACTCCAATATAGGACGTACTAATGAGATGTACAGTTGTTTCGTAACGTACGGGTCGTCAAACTCCTTGGACCAACGCTCGATGAACGCTAAAACACCCTTAGCTTTATTTACAGTTGCAGCTATATGGGTGTTAAAACACATCTTATGATCAAAAAGGATTCCGAGGTCATTTGAACTCGAAATTCGCTCAAGGACATGATTTCCTAGAACATATGGGAGCGCGAACAATGAGGAGCGCGACGGTAAAATGTCATAAGTTTGCATTTGGAAAGGTTCAGAAAAAGAAGATTAGTTGAACACCACAATAGTAGTTCACTTAGATCAAGTTGAAGGCGTGTGTGCAAATACCAATCAGAGTAAGAAAGACAGATTTTGACATCATCAGCATACATTAGTGTAGTAGAGTATGTTATAACTTGAGGAAGGTCATTCACAAATAAAACGAGGGGGGACGTTCTGAGTTGCTGCGGACAGCGCAACTCTACAGTTATACCCGATACTAAGTCAGTATGGCTCCCCTCCGGCAGCGCCGCTAATATTAAACGACACGACAAAGAGTGCGTGCGAGAGAGACAGAAAATCAGTCTGAGCGTGACGTCGGGCGCTGCGTAGCCACTGCAAATTGATTTGTTCCTTTTGGCTATAAAAATGATCTGATCTGATCCAGATTCAGCAACCTGATAGATATGGTCATTATCTATGATTCTGCGTTTTTAGTTTTCTCGAATCTGCAATATTGTGGATGCAACAGATTTTCGTCCTTTGTGTGGGCGGAAGGGGGTGGGGCGAAATTTTGAGATATACTTTTTATAGTGAGATCTAACAGGAGTACGGACACTAAATTTGGTTACTCTAGCCTTAATACTCTCTGAGATTTGTGAATATCCCCAGATTTGCATCCTTTGCGGGGGCGGAAGGGGGTGTGGCGAAATTTTGAAACAATCTCGTCTCGGTCTGATATATTAGGAGTGTGGATACCAAATTTGGTTGCTCTAGCTTTTATAGTCTCTGAGATCTAGGCGCTAATGTTTTACTCTAAGCAAAGCCGCCTATGCTACGTGTGTGTTAGAGAGAGACAGGGCGAGAAAAAATTAAATTGTTTTCGTGATGCTGGCTATAATAATAATACGATCCAATTCAGATTCCGCAGTCTAAAAGATATGGTCATTCTCTACGATTCTGCGTTTTTAGTTTTCTCGTATCGTCAAAATTGTGGATGCCACAGATTTTCGCCCTTTGTGGGGGCGGAAGTGGGCGGGGCAAAGTTTTGAAATATTTTTGGAGCAGTGACATATCACAGAAGTCTGGATCCAAAACATCGTTGCTCTAGCTCTTATAGTCTTTGAGCATTAGGCGCTGAAGGGGACGGACAGACGGACAGACAGACATGGCTCAATCGACTCGGCTATTGATGCTGATCAAGAATATATATACTTTATAGGGTCGGAAACGATTCCTTCTGGACGTTACACACATCCACTTTTACCACAAATCTAATATACCCCAATACTCATTTTGAGTATCGGGTATAAAAAATGAACAGAAGCGGGCCCAGATGACTTCCCTGTGGCACACCTGAAGTAACATTTACAGTATTTGACAACACGTTAGAAAACAAAACACGTTGAGTACGGTTAGAGAGATAGGACAAAATCCAATCTAGAAGATTCGTTGGGAACCCTAATAAAGAGAGCTTGTGAATAAGCAGAGCATGGTTCACAGAATCGAATGCCTTGCTGAAGTCAGTAAAAACTACATCCGTCTGCAAACCAATTTGAAAACCACGGTGGATTAGGTTAGAAAACTCAAGAAGGTTAGTCGATGTTGAACGATGTCTGAAAAAACCGTGTTGCGACGGAGATATCAAGCTGCAACAAAGATGTTGAAGTTGCCGGGTGACCAGGAACTCAAGAAGCTTCGGGATGGCGGAAAGCTTTGCGATACCGCGATAGTTTTCAATGTTTGATCTTGAACCTTTTTTGTAAAGCGGAATGATATAGGACTCATTCCAAATTACTGGGAGACAAGACTGTTCCAAGGAGAGGTTGAAGAGAAAGGTCAAGGGTTTGCAAAGGGACTGGGCACAGTATTTTAAGATGCAACTTGGTACCTTATCTGGACCCGCAGAAAACGACATGTCCATAGATGACAAACCTTCCAGAACAACGCTTTCCTCGAAAAAGGGCAGAAAAATGCTGTTAGCTTGAGGTAGCTGGTACGGATACGGAGTGGATGCGTTGTAAATATGAGACAAGTACGTTGTTTGGAAAAAGTTAGCGAATAAATTTGCAATACCAACAGCAGAAGCTTCTGTTTTGTTCTGGTAATGAAGGGACGGAGGAAAACCGTTTGACTTGCGCTTAGAGTTAACGAACGAATAGAATTTTTTAGGATCACTACGAAAGTTTCTACTACATTGTGAAAGGTAATGATTATAACACTGACTATTGACGGCAAGGAATAGAGAGCGAGCGGAGGAGTATACAGCTAAGGCCAACGTGGAGCCCGACTTCTGGTACTTTTTATAGAGCCGGGATTTATTATTTTTTAAGTATGACAAATACTTGGAGAACCAGGGAGGCTTGGACGATACAGGTACAGTGATATCTGGAACAAACGTATTTAGGGCGGAGTAAATAGAACTATAAAACGAGTTAACAGTTGCATCTATGTTCGGTAATGAATAAAGAAACGACCAATCAACACGCGAGAGATGTAGATCTAAATCGATAAAGTTTGTTTGGCGAAAACACTTTATGTGACAAGGAGCGATGGAACTGTCAGCACCTCCAGATTGTGTACACTCCAGTGATATCAACAAAGTTGGATGGTAAGGATCTTCAGGGAGAGATATTGGGCTTGCTCTAGATACCGTAGCAAGAGAACCATCGTTAACAAAAACGAGGCCAAGAAGTCTGTCCCTAATGTTTTTAACGGCATTAATTTGGACAAGGGAAATATCCGTTAGCCCATTGAAAAAGTCGTACCTATGGTCCTGGAAAAGGAAAAATTTATCAGCCACAAATATGATTAAAAAGGGCTCTCAAAATACTTACCGCCAGCCATTCAGACACACACACACACACATCCATTACACTTGGGCGGCCGGACGTGTGCCGTTCGAGTAGGCGTGTCATCGACCGCCATTGCCCACTGCTGGTGGCCAGACCAGTGCCACTCGCCCTACATTAGGGCCACAATTGCCGACGCACACACACACTCACATCCATTTCACTTTGGCGGCCGGACCTGTGTCGCCACAGTAATATGTGTGCCGTCTACTCCTGGCTCCCAGCTGGTGGCCGGACCAGTGCCACTGGTTCTCCAAGAGGGCAGCCACAGCCACAACGACGACGAGGTGCTAATTGCAGCTACCTCTGACGACTTCGTATGACGCCAATTTCGACGACCAGGGGGGACGACGGGGTCGGCCGGTATGCAACGCAATGTCTTTACAAGCATTGTGTTTTGCTATGCCGGCCGATGCTTCTTGTCTTCCCTGTAATTATAGAAAAAGATATAGACATTATTTTAAATTGTTATGTTTATTGTAATATTGTACCTGTTTTGTCTCGTCTTTGTTCCAGTGTAGTATCTCTTTTATTACCTGTTTTTCCGTCGTCTCCACTCCAGTCTACAACTTATCTGTATTGTTATTTCTGCAAGTGCTTGTCTCTTTTTATTTAGTGTCTTTCCTCTTATTTTCCACGCAAAGCACTTGCATTGTTTACCTTTTCTCTTTATCTATTCCTCACCCCTTCTTCCCCCTTCTCACCACACTACAAAATTATTACAATCTGTGATAAATCTTTGGCGGCAACGGTGCTGACAATTGATTATCGGTTTCGTAATCGATTTTCAAATCAGCATCAGTTGCCGCCACACCCCACCACTACGGCCTAAATTGAGCCAAAAATGCTAGTCTTCGCATAAATCATCTACGCCCCCTATAAACTGCCCGCCCACATGTACATGTTACATTCCTAGTCGTCTGCCGCATACCGCATTACAGCCAACAAAACATCAAGTTGACAAACTCACAGGGGATTGCAAATCAAATTTTAAGTTAGGGAGAATTACAAAGAAGAGACAGCATACTTTTGAGCGTGGCCCCACTTTACTTTCTTGACTCACACCACACACACACACACTGGACACCCTCTTGTCAATTCGTACTTTTGGAGCCTTTTGCCCCGATCGTGGAATGGTCTCGAGTCTGGATCTCTATCCAAAAGAAAAGTCGTGTCGTGAACGTTGTGGAGTCGAGTCGTGTTCGAGGTTTAGTCTCTCCGTCAAAGTGCCGAATATTTTGTCTCTCTCTTTTTCTCTTTTTCCCTTTCCCCCCCTGCTGACTGCGGGCCTAGTCGAGGTTACAAGTGTTTCGTTGCTGCAGTTTATATGTTTGTAAATTATTGTGCCATCAAATGTACCAGTGTGTTTGAGTGTCGTTTAAAG